AGGGGTTTGTTTCCAAATTTATTTTAAATTCTGACAACTTGACCAGCACAGGCATTTTGGTCGCCGTGATGTATAAGTAACTGATATTGGTACCCCATCTGCATCCTATCCTAGAGAGAATCCCAGTGTAGTGAGAGAACTGACATCCAAGCTTTACCAAAAGCAAATGGGCAACTGGTTTCCTTGTTAGGAGGAAACCAGGGAGAAGAAGACATGTGCCCGCAATCACTAGACATCTGTTTTGTGGAAGCGCATTAGTGCGCTCTGTCCCCCAGCAATTGAGCAAGACCTGAAGCTATGATTGGGCTGGAGGCTGCCTTATTTAGAAATCAGCATTAGCAATGAACTGTCTAAAATCAGAACCTCATGAGGATGACGGTCCCCAGTACAAGGGGCATTGTACAGGACAAGGAGGCACCAAATGAAGCCATGCATCTTAGGGGGCAGTTAGAGCCTGATATGTTATCATCCTAAGAACACAGAGTAGACATGTGTAATGCAGTGCCCAAAGCATGTCTCCATCCATGGGGACAGCGGAGGTATTTCTAGCAATAAGTAGGCTGGTGAGCAGGCCTTCTTTCTAGCATATTGGATGGAAGGTCAGTCAGTCTTCTATGGCTGGTGATCCTCTTGGCAGCAATACAAAATAGGGCAGTCTATTTAATGAGTGAGTTGGAACAAGGGACTGCCTTTTATCCAATTCTGCTTTTCAGTGTGGCCCAAACTAGATTTTTCTGAACTCCAATGAACCTTTAAGTGGATCTGTTCCCCAAGGTCTGGTCTCAGTATCCCAATAATAATACAATGGGGAAGGACTGGGAAAAGATCCGCCCGTTTAGTTATTCTGCTTTCATCACCACAATGGGGCTCTCAGCTTCCCTGGGGGCCCTGTGAGGATACCCCTTCTTTCTCAACATCCCCATCGGTGGAGTCTTCTTTAGGATACACACATTGTCCCTGGAAGCCTTCCTTCCCAGAGCCCTGCACCTTCATATGAGCAAACTCTAGGTTCTTCTTGAGAGTCAAAGATCTGCCGCCTCGGGATTTGGCTGGATCTACTAGACTCTCCCACGAGGAGTTAAAGATGTCTTCTGGTTCTACTGTAGGAAAAGGACAAGGAGAAAGTGGATGTGGGCTCTTACAGGAGCATGTGACAGGGGATGAAGAGGCAGCTTGGCTTACAGCTTGAGTCCCTCTATGAACCAGACTCCAGCTATTTTCCCTTGAAAGTCTCTAAGCGAAACCTAGCCTGGACAACAGTGATAAAATGGCCTCCCGAAAGCTGCAGCTCAGAATCTGGGAGCGCAGACTCTCGTGCACACTAACCTCTGACCCATAGCAGCCAAACAGGGAGGTAACTCTACCTACTCACACATCCTACCCACATCTGTCAGTTTCTGAAAGTCATAAAGTATTGATTGCTCTGCTTGGCTTTCTCAAAGACAGGAAAATGGTACTTGCTCCCTCTGACATCCCCGGGGCCTCCGACATCTATGGGTTGAGTCTGTGAGTTGTACTAGGAACCTGTTACAAGCTTTCCTGCAGTAAGAGCATTCTCCACGTTTCTTGGTAATGAAGCAGATATTTCTTCAGAAGGCTGTTAAGCCTCTGCTGCTCACTAGCTCTTCATCCCAAATGGAAGGCTCCAGGCTATCTACTGCTTGTCAGGGTCACCCCTCAACAGCTTTTTGGGGTTGAGGGCAGAACTCTACTAAGCCCATTAAACCATCTGTCTGCAGCTCTAGTTTAGAAAAAGGATCGCAAAGCCTAGGAGGCAAATGATAAGGAAGCGACTGGCTGGATCCAGCCTGGGATTGCTGGTAGATTGACTTTATCCAGTCTGTGCCCTAAACCACCACTGTCACAGGCAATGGACAGAGATGGACATTTGTCCAATGGTGCTGAACTTTATGATCTTCATGAAGACACGAACTGCTCACCTACCCAAACGCTTGTACCAAATAGTCAGACCATTTTGGTTGCAATGGTGGTGCTGAGCCACAAAATGGGAGAAGTGACAGCTGAGGAATATTCAAATTGAGAAGTTATTTTAAACACGGGGTAGTTTTAAAGTGTGGAAGTAAGTTGCCACTTACATTGAGGGAAAGCAAGAACGGACAATAATCACAGACAATAGTGATGGTGGTGACACTCGTTTGACACTTCTGTGTGGTTGACGCTGCTGAGTGTAGGATTTTAACTCTCACAGCAGCCCTGTCAGGTTACCACCATAAATGTCCCCATTTTACAGATGAGAATATGAAGGCAGAAGGCAGTTAAGTAGCTAATCTGAAGTCACATAGTTAATAAATGGACTGAAAGCCAAATGGTCTTCATCTGGGATGCTTCTGTGGCTACTGCTGGAAGTCAATTCTCCTATTCCTATAGGTATAGGTCCTATCTTCGGGGTAGGGAACCCAGCTGGCTACACACTGAGGGAAAAGATGACCAGAGGCAAGTTCATTTGCTCATGACTCCATTAATTTCAAGATGAAATGAGTGTACTCATGTAGGCTCTGGGAGATGACTCTTATAGATTTCTCTAGCTTCGATCCTCTCTCTCTCTCTCTCTCTCTCTCTCTCTCTCTCTCCCTCTTATTCTTTCTCCCTTTTTTGTTTTTTGTTTTTTGAAGCTTCATAATCATCTCTCTTTAAGTTCTAGCAAATCTTTTCAAAGAAAAAAGAAAGAGAAGCATCCTGTCAGGAGAGAGGTGAGCGAGTGTACTAGTTTACCACACTCCTGGCATCTGTGTGTATCAAGGTCTCCTGTGAGACCTTCTTTAGAGGTGTGCAGAGACCCACCTGAGAGACAGTGTGACTGAGTGTGCCCGCCTCTCCCAAACTCAAGACCAGTAAAAGGGTCGCTCATGGGAGGAGTGCTCATATTATGAAGTCAGCAGGTGTACCACTCAAGGCTCTGTGTGTGTGTGTGTGTGCACGTGTGTGTGTGTCTGAGTGTGTGTGCGCGCATGTGCGCGCACGCATGTGCAATCTCAATCTTTCAACGCCAGCTTACCAGTCTGTCACCGTACACTGCACAGGCTGCCTCCCCTAGAGGCAGAGTGACAAGTCTCAAGCCATTCTGCTTCCTCCAGTAACTGCATTTAGGATAATGCCACACACACACTTGTCTTCCTTCATGTCTCCCTCTAGGGCCATTATCATCTGTCAAGCAGAACTTTCATTACGAACATTCTCCCTCCAAAGAGGCACTAACGCACCAGAGTCGCCTGACTCGCGACTTCCTGTGTCATGGGCACAGACAGACACAGCGCTTCCCACATCTGCTGGCTCTCTCCCAGGTCCCCAGCTCAGACTCCTTTCTTCCTGGCTCGCAGCACAGCTGAATTCTCTATTCCTGGTATCTGCTACTGCGATGGTTAGATCAGCATTTGAGTCCCAGCCTTACCCCTGAGATTCAGCTCCATCTTCTGAAAACTGAGGGGTAGCATAGAACTAAGTAAAATTCATGGAGTCAGCTTGGTGAAGCCACTTTTTAAAATTAATTAATTAATTAATTTTTTTAAAAAAACTTTTCTTATTTTACATACCGATCCCAGTTTCCACTCCCGCCCTTCTCCCATTCCCTCCACCTTTTCCCTCCCCCCACCCACTCCTCAGAGAGGGTAAAGCTTCCCATGGGGAGTCAATAAACCCTAGCTCATCGCTTTGAGGCAGGACCAAGGCCCTCCCCCACTCTATCAAGACTGAGCAAGGTATCCCTCCAAATAGAATGGACTACAAAATGTCAGTTCAAGCAGTAGAGATAAATCCTGGTCCCACTGCCAGTGGCCTCACAGTCTGCCCCAGTCATACAACTGTCACCCACAATCAGAGGGCCTAGTTTGATCCTGTGCTGGTTCCCCTGCTGTCAGACGGAGTCAGTGAGCTCCCATTAGCTCAGGTCAGCTGTTTCAGGGGGTTTCCTCATCATGGTCTTGACCCTTTTGCTCATATTATTGCTCCTCCCTCTCTTTGACTGGATTTTGGGAGCTTCGCTGTGGATTTCTGCATCTGGGTGACGCCACTTTTTAAAGTATTTAAAGCGGATAGAGCACACCCGAAAGAACGAGTCCACATGCGTAAGCTGTTGCGCTGGTAACTTCTCCTGTGGCTCTGACTAAACTCCCCTCCCCCCCCGCCCCGCAGACGCAACTTGAGGGAGGAGTTGCTTATTTGGGCTTGTGGTTCAAAGGGATACAGTCTTCATGGTGGGGACAACGTGGTGGTGACAGGGGCTCACCAGTGGCCATGGGAGCTGGCTGCATAGCTTGTTTCTCACATCTAGCAGCTTAGGCAACAGAGAACTTGGCAAGATGTAGGACCAGGTTATCATTCTAAAAGCCCATTTCCCAGGTGACCCACTTCCTCCGCATAGACCCCGCCTACTAAAGCAGCACCGGCATCTGGAGAACAAGGGTTGAAACACATGCGCCTATGGGGGACACTTCACAGCCAAGCCACAGCCCGCCTCTTATCAGCATCCATCTCAAAGCACTGATTCCCCTCCTAGCTGACGTCCACACCCTCCGCTTCCCATCTCCTTGCTGTTGCTCATCAGAGCTCTTGTCTCAAAGTCCCGCCCCCTTACTCACTGACGTCATCCTCGGCCTTCAAATTCCTCCTCCAACAGCACTTTCTCTGTAAACGCTTGCTAATTTTCCCAACTCCAGCTGCACTTGGCTTTGCCACCCTGCTGGAAGCCAGGGCTTTCCTCATGGGGAATCTTCACCATCCCTACCTGACCTGAAAGGCTCAGAGAACCTTGCTGCTTTGGAGTCCAGCTAACATTAGTTAAGTAGGAAAGCTGCACGTCTCCCCACGGTGGTATATTTTCCGACCCCTCGGGACTAGGTCATCTTCAGCACCGTGCGATCAGGGCATTGGAAGGTTCTGCAGACCACGGACTGACAACCATAACTCTGGATGAAGATAAGGAGCCGGATGTGTGTGTGATCAGACTCTATGACTTCCTCTCCAACATCTGGGACTAAACTTACCAGAAGTTGTTTGAAGGACAGTGCTCAAAGCGTAAGAGAACATTTCAAAAAAGGCTGGTGGCCATCTAGGAGATGGGATCATCCAGGGGGACCACGGAGACAGGAGCTGCAGGACGGATAGAGAATCGGAATTGGCCAAAGGTTCCAAATGAGTTTCTGGAGGAAAAGTCTTGGAGAGAAATGTTCTGTTGGTTTCATCTTTTCATTCAGATTGGCGATATCCCAAACTGAAGCCCTGACCCGGCCACAGACAGCTGTGTGCAGGAAAGTAATCATGGGGAGTTCATCATTCTATGATGCAGGATGTGGGCTTTGTGCATTTGCTAATGGCTGCCCAGGTTCCTGTCCTTGGAAGACAGCCTGCAGCATAAAATATGCTCTATACCTCTAATTTGTTGTATTCTTTACCATTAATGTGCATCTCAGGACTTGAGAAGATACCGCTCATTCATTTTCTGATATGCTATCATGAGAAAGGAAGTTTGAGGGTTAGGGTCTTGGCCTTTTTTTCATAATGTACAAAGCACTTCATGAATATTTGCTGAGTAACTGGGTCAATGACATAACCAGGACATGTCATATTAACGGGGATTTGTTTTTTTTCGTCCTTCTTTTCGGAAGGATTAATTTTACTATGTATTTTCTAGCTTCTTAATTTGATGCTTTGTCCTTTTGACTATGAACATTTTATAACTACTTAACTGCATCCCTAAGTTTTGGTTTAAAAATGGTATGTACTATTCAGTGCCAAATATTTAATTTTTCATTGAGACTTCTTTATGATCCATAATTTATTCAGAAGCACATGTGGATGGACATGCACATATATTCCATTTACAAATAAGTAAGGGGCAGGAGTGATGGGTCAGTGGTTAAGAGCAACTATTGCTCCTGCACAGGGCCTCAGGTTCAATTCCCATTACTCACATGGTGGCTTACTACCATCTGAAGTTCCAGTGGATTTTATGCCCTCTTCTGTCTTCCATAACCACCAAGCATGCACATGGTGCACACACATACAAGTAGGCAACACACTCAAATGCATAAAACAAACCAAGTAAATAAAAAGAAAAAGCCTTTTAAATTGAATTGTTATCCTGTTTCTAAATACACTTGTGAGCTGAGACTATGCTGTAATTCTTGTCAGCTGATTACAGTGCTGGGGACAATCACAGAGCCTTATAGATATCTACCCTATCCTTGTCGATATAAGGGATGCATCCTACCACCAACCTGTATTCCATTCCTGAGTCCAGACTTTTGGGACACCAATACTTATGGCTTTCCAGTTTCCAGAAGGCGTTAATATTCCATGCACTCTGGAAAGGTCTATTCTCCTTCTTCATATAGATCCTGTTGACCATGCTTGATAACTGGGCTGCTCACATTTGTAGCCTTTCCTCTGCGCAGGGAATCATGAGTCTACGTTTCCATCCTCATTTAGACTCTAGCTCTTTGTAAGTTAGTCTTGGCTGTGTCTTTCGTGGCCATTGTTCCTTTGGGGAAGATAAGAACTATGCTCATGTCTGCAGCTCAGATCAATCCTCTCTCAACTTAAATGCTCTTGCTTTGTAATCTTTTTGTTTCTTTTTTGTTCCATGGAGACCGGAAGTCAACCCCTCGCCTCAGTGTAGAAGCAGATGCTGGGGAACCTGCACTGGAGAGGCAGCGATAGGAGACTCCATGGGACTTGTTTAGCTGCCAGCTTTTCTACATAAACTAGACTCTGTTTTTTAGTTTTATTTATCTGCATCTTTCTCCATCACTTCTATCTGTGTCTCTGATCTTTCTCTGGGCATAATTTTCCTTCTGCCTGTAGGAATCTTCCAGAAATTTCCTTAATGGCAGTCTCTCAGTGATAATCTTGTGGTTTGCCTTTCTTTTGGCCTCATTCATTCTACTCTTGAGACAGACTCAGTATGTAGCCCAGATTATCCTCAAGTTTATAATCCCCTGCCTCCCAAGTACTGGGGTAACAGGTATGCACCAACATACCCAGCTCAATTCCATTCATAAAACATTTCCCCACACACACAGGATAAAGTATTTTGAATTGACCAGTTTTCTCTGGCCATACCTTAAATATTACTCCTCTGCCTAGAAATTTTCACCACTGTTGAAGAAATGCATGTATCAGGAGCCAGGAAGACTCCATGCTTGCCTGGGCAAGCATGGAGACCAGAAGTCAACCCCTCGCCTCAGTGTAGAAGCAGATGCTGGGAAACCTGCACTGGGGAGGCAGCGATAGGAGACTCCACGGGACTTGTTTAGCTGCTCCAGCTGGCTTGGAGAGCTCTGGACTTCATGAGAGACCATGTCTCAAAAAATAAGGGAGAAAAAGATTAAAGAAGGTATTTAACATTGACCTTTGACATCCACACACAAGCAAAAGCATACACACACACACACACACACATACACACACACACACACACACACACACACACACACACACACACACACAAGCATGCACACCCCACAGGAGAAAAGCCAAAACAGATCAGCCAAATCCCCATATCCCTGGTAGGTGATCTGGCTATTCTCACTGGCTACCTTGTAAATATCTCGTCTCACTTTTTTTCCCCTGCAGTTTGTCTGTGACTGCTCAAGGTGTCATTTATTGTATTCATCTTACATAGACGTGGGGAGCTGCTATGGTTCAGATATGGTTTGCATCTATCTCTAGCCATTTGTGAGTTGCAGAGTTGATGCTCAGGGTAGCAGCACTGAGTGTTGGTGGAACCTGTAATTGGCAGGCCCTTAGGGAAGTTTGAGGGCATGACTTTGGAAACGACCATGGGATCCCTCTGTTCTTCCCACACGCACTTTTGCACGTACCTCAGCTACCCTGAGAGCCTCACCAGAGCTGGACTCACACTGATGTCATACCCTGAACCTCCAGAACTGTGACCCCCAACCTGAGTATGTTGTTATAGGAACAGAAAACAGAAGACTTCGGGGATTTCTAGGATAAACATCAGTGTGATTGGTTAATTCTGGAAACTTCTCAACCATTATCCCTTTGGATTGCACTTCATCCCCATTCTCATCATCCCCTCCTGGGACACTGATTAGAGGGCAGTTAAACCGGTACTCCCCTGTAGTAGCACCTGTGACTAGTTAGGGTATTTCCATCACTGAAGGCTGCCTCATCAGGCAGACCCAGCGCACACTTGCTTTCCCTTAACCTGTCTTTCATGTTTTCCAACTCCGTCTCATGGAACCACGCATAAACAATCTGTTGAGGTCAATCTTCTGGTTCTCCATTCACTGTTTATTAGTCTGTTTAATCACATAGTTTGTTTTTTAAAATCCATTGTATATAGAGTTTTGCTTCCAGACATTATGTTTTGAGAGATATGTAAATCTAAACACAAAATATATCTGGTGATGCTATCAGTCTAGGATTTTTTTTTGAACTGTCTTTTTTAAAAGAAGTTTTTATCAGTCCTTATACATGGTATGACTTCTGACCAGAAGCTCACGGGGGAGTTGGCTCACCGCAACTGGTTCTCACGGGAAACTCTGTTCCTCTTTTCCCCAGCCTGTAGAGTTGTGACAGATAGGTTTTCTGGCTGTCAGGTTCTCTATGTGGTGAAGTTTATTTCTCATTAATCTAACAGTGGCTGTTGTCCCTCGGGCTCCCAGCTTAACGCATGAGTGCTGGGATGGGAGATAGATGATGGTTTTCCACGGTGTTCTATTCTACACATTGGGAAAGCCCTAGATAGCAGGCCCTGCTTCACATGAAGTCATCAAGGTCTCAAGTCTGCATGGTTTGACAGCAAGCTCTGGGGGAGAAAGCCACCTCCACACTCAGAGTCCCCCTGGTTTCTTTTTAAATTGCTACAATTCTTGTCCATTGTGGTGGTTCATGCCCATACTCTCAATGTTTGGGAAGCTGAAGTGGAAGATTTTCATGAGTTCAAAGGTCAGCATAGGCTACATAGTTAAGACCGCATGAATTATATAGAGTTCAGAGTGAGGCCTTGCCTCAAAAAAAAAAAAAAAGAATTCTAACAAAAACACCAGGAAAATCAAATAGAGGGGCATTTCACATAATACACACTTCAAAAGTTCTTAACAAGAATGAGTAAAAAAAATGTCACAGGCTAGACCAGAGACTAAATGTACTGTGATACCTTGATGTTTCATAGAGCCCTGGACTGGAATCTGGAACAAGGAAGATCATTAACTGAGAAATTAGTGAGCTCTTTGCAAAGGGTACGGTTCAGCTAATAGTTTGGACCAATATTGACAGGCAGTTTTGACAAAGGTGCTACATCAGTGTAAGATGACAGAAAACAAAGCAGAACTTAGCACTCTTTTGGCAACTTTTCTTTAAAACTAAACTTAATCTCAAAGACAAAGTTGATCGAAAAGTAGAATTCCTATGACCTCTCATTTTTATTGAGGGTATTTACAGTCTTCTTCACTGGGGCTGGGCGTGTATGTGAGGTAGAAGACTACTTCCCTGGCATGTACCCAAGCCTCGGGTTCATGTCCCAGCGCTGCATATAACTGGATACGAGGAAGCTCACACTGATAAGCCCAGCTCTCCGGAGGCAGAGGTGGAGGCAAGAGGCAAGAAGACAAACTTTAAGGTAGTTCTTGGCTACATACCAAAGCAGAGGCCATCCTGGAATAGATGAGACTGTGCTGCGGGAGTACCTTCCGCTGCTTCAGCCAATAGTCGCTGAAGCAGGAGCCCACAGTGTTGCGGGAGCGCCTTCCGCTCCGTCAGCCAATAGCTGCTGAAATACCAGCCCACTGGGGCGTGGTATATTTCTCTTTAAAAGAAGAGCGGCAAGCTCGGCTTGGCCTCTTGGTTCCGGTGCTTGGTTCCGGCTCCTGCTCCCGGCTCCTGCTCCAGTGACTAGGATCCCTTCCTGACGGTTTATCGTGTATGTAAGTTTTACCCCCCAAAATAAATAACCCCTTAAAACATAACTGGTGTGGGATTGATTCGCCATTAAGACTGTCAGAGAGAGAGAGAGAGAGAGAGAGAGAGAGAGAGAGAGAGAGAGAGAGAATTATAAAAGTCCTGTTATGGTCTGTCCTTTCTCTTTTGCTTTTTCTTTATTTTTCTCTCTCCCCTTTTCCCTTCC